GTGTATCGAAAATGTCCTCATGAGACATTTTTGCAATGATAAGACAAACGAGAATATTGTTTCGAAATAAAATTTAATAGAAATATAATAACTGTTTACAGGACGTTAAGAACTCCTATATCTCAGTTCTTGGACACGGCTGTCACTATTCGCAATCACACTTTTCAAGTTGTTATATATAATAGCTTGAACACATTGGTGATCAAATTTATCATTTGAATGAGAATGTTGCCAGGAAATGGAACAATAAAAATATATTTTTTAGAAAGAGGCGTTTCTTGCCTTGTACTACAAAAATATAAAATGTTGAACATACACATGGTTATTCACGTGATTACAGCTACAGGTCGCAGAGTGTCGAAGAAGATTGATTAGTAAGTAGCCTAAGTGACACCACTCTTAATTGACATCTATGTCCGGTGGTATTCAAAAAATCATTTCAGAGAAGTCTTGGTGGCTCGCTAGTTTTTGGCTTGCCTTGGTGTCTCTTCACTGAAATCTACTCTTAAGATTACCTTGTGCCTACATGTGACCAGTCTTGGTGGAGTTCTTGAAGAAGAATTTTCTTGGTGACTGGTCTTGTGGCAAGTGGTCTTCTAAACAAAGCTCTTTGATGGCACTTACATCCTGAAAGTCATCAAATGATCTTACACCGAGAAACTCATAACTATGATGACCGAATGACCTTTTCTCCCTTTTATGCTTTTTTAATCGGGTATTTTAATGATTTAGGTCTACTTCAGAAAGGCTCTAAAAGCAGACATAAACTGCAAAAGGTTCGAGTATAAAGGTACTGTAGTTTACTTTAAGAAATAAAGTGCCTTATATAACAGGCATTTAAACTGAGAAAACACGTTGGTATCATCAGTCATACACGTGACGAGAGTATATATATATACGGTGGCGCTATTGCCTCCTCCGGAGATGTCAACAAGGAGCTATTGCCACCTTCAAAAGGTGTCGGTAACGGCTATTGCCACCTTCAGAAAGTGGCAGTAACGGTTATTGCTACCTTCGGAGGTGTCAACAAGGAACTATTGCCGCATTATATCGGTGTCAACTAGAGCCTCATCTAGAACTAACTATATAATACATAAGTACTTGGAAAGCTAAAGCAAATTCACACTATGTAATGCAAAACATTTTGTGTGAAACAACTTTTTGAACTCACTCTCACACTGCTCTCATCCTCCCTCCCCCAATACCCACCAGAAATTACCAGAAATACCCAAATTTATCTGGGTAGGTCTATTGGCGCCCCCGGGATGGCAGCAACGAACTATTTACGGCTCCAAGACTGGCAGCAACAAGCTATTGACACCCTATCGAACTGGCAGCAAGGACCTATTGACAGTCCAAAATTAAAAGCGTATTAATTAAAAAGCGGTATTTCTATATTAGAATCTTTGCTTTTATTAGTAATATTAGAAGCTAGGGTTTATTCTTCTTTAAAATTATCATTTTTCTATTCTTCTAGTGAGTATTCTTCTTTTAATTTGAATACTTATTCTTTAAGTTTATTTTTAAGATTTGTTATTATAGTTTTTTTTTGTAAATTATCATGTTAGTAATTTTTTAATATAAGTTTTTAGTATATTTCATTATTCTTATAGTATTGTTATTGTTGCTCGTTCAAGTTTTTAAGTTGTTATGACCTATTTATTTATTAAATTTTTTAGTGCCTGATCAAAGGCAAATGGTAATTAAGAATTTTTATGTAATTAAAAGATTTGTTTAATTAAATTTTTATTCTATTTTTACTTATAATTTTGTAAGATTTTTTAATAATTTTCAGTCTCTTCCGTCAGAATTCTGCTTTACGAACAAGAATTCAGACTAACCAAATTACTTTCGCCACAAGAATTTTAATCTCTTCCACCAGAATTTTACTTTTGCACAGGAATTTTGAGAATTAGCGCGCGACTTTTGGTCTCTTCCACGATAATTCGACTTCATGTGCAGTAATTCAGACTCACCAGATTACTTCGTCCACGAGAATTTTACTTTTATATAGGAATTTTAAGAATTCCCGCCAGAATGTTAGTCTCTTCCCCGTAGATTCTGCTTCATGCACATAAAATTCAGACAGACAATACTACTTTTTTGACGAGAATTTTACTTTTCTTCAGAAATATTCGAAATAACCACGAGAATTTTAGTCTCTTCCACCAGAATTTTGCTTTTCTACAGGAATTTCGAGAATTTCCGCGAACATGCACAGGAATCCAGAATGACCATACTACTTTTTTGACGAGAATTTTACTTTTCTTCGTGAATTCTGAAATAACCACGATGTTTCTAGAGGACTTTCGAGAACCGCGACAATGTAAGTGGCTACCACGTTAATTCTACTTCAATCACAGGAATTCAGAATAACCAAATTATTTCCTCTTCGAGCATTTTACTTGTCTACAGAAATTTCCAGAATTATAACGAGAAGTCTTTCCACGAAAATTCTGCTTCTCGCACAGGAATTCAGACTCATCAGATTACTTCCCACGAGAATTTGACTTTTGTAATGGAATTTTCTTGGTCTCTTCAACCAGAATTCGGGTTCTCGCACAGGAATTTAGAATAACGATATTACTTTCTGCAGAATGTAAAAATCTTTGTTCTTGGAGTCCACTAATTTCACAGTTGAAACTAGTGGTTTCAAACTGCATGGAATTCTGACATCAATTCCTGTCTTTCTGCATAACATATGGTTTTTAGAGAAAAGAACATATTCAGCCTTCAACTGCAAAACAGTTTTATGAGAAGGCAGCGTCTCTATTGAGAATACACCCTTGTATATAAAGCCGGCTACTTTTCAAATTTCTCTGTATTCTGGTTTAAAGAGCAAAGTGCGCCAAGTGCACTCCGAAATTCAGATCTGCACTATGCTTTACAGAGCGCTCGAATGTGAATATGTCGCTAATCTACGTTTAAGTGACGTCAGGTGTCACTACTCTACTACTGTGCACTGACGGACATTTTGTTTGTATGACCCAAGACTTTCAGTCAAGGGAATATATTGTCTGCCCAACTGAACAGTGGCCGTTGTCATTTTTTTATTAGATTTTTAACAGAGCAAGACGAAGACCTGCGGTTTCCAGTGTACTGTAGTCAGGACCTGACAGCATCTTCCTATGCATAAATCAGTTCTAACAATGAGCTCTATCACCGTGTACCTGGTCAATGTTGCGAAGAAACGATTGCCACTTTCTAACTTTTCATACAAGTCTAATCTTCAAAAGCACGCCTGACATAGAGCAACATCTAGCCTACATATCTGCCAAAGCCTGACAGCTCCATCTACGATTGTTCGGGCAGGAGCGAACTTTTCCTGAGATAACGGGTGGCGCAGCATTTTTATAGAATAAATTAGACTGTTAGTATTTTCAGTATTTCTCCTCTATTTTCCATTTGATCGAAACATATTTTTTTATCAAAAGATAACCCTTCAAATACTGCACAAAACCATGTATACCTGAATCCAACAACTATTTTAGATATATTTGAAAAAGGATGAAAAGTAAAGAAGTACAAACAGCTGTGAAAAATAAATACGAAAATGGTGACGGACCGGCGAAAATTTATCGCGATTTGGCCGGAGTAGTTTCATTACAAACAATTAAATCATCAACAAGGAAATTGTCTGCTGACACTTGTATTTCAAGAAGAAGCATTCAACGGATATTACGAGAAGATCTTGGATGCTTTCCGTAATCTAAGATAATTTTTTTTTGTAAAGTGTTAGAATTCACTAAACTCATTTGTCTGATATATTTTACCTCAACGTAAGACTTGGTTGTAATAGATACCACATTACTTTTGATATCATATTTTGTCAATACTCTATTGATATGTTGATCCAATCTTTTAGAGGATTTTCTGCCGCAAAATTGCATATAACTTAATACAGTTGATTTCAATTTAAAATCTGGCTTTATGTAATGCGCTGTTATACATAAATAATGACGTCTTTGAGTGTTATAATATAAATCCGGGGTTAATGAAATATATTCAATTCTTGTTTTAACTTCAATTTCTCATCGCCATACATACTATTCAACGATCTTTTCACTGTTCGAGGGCTTAGATCCGTATAGTTTGGAATGGCTATGTTCAAGAATTACTGCATACCGTCTTTTTTAAAATCGTTAAAACTACGAACATCTTTAACGATACACTTAGTGGCTGCTATATCTAGCTGCTTTTTATTTGCTAATGAAACACGATTAGTTCTTTTTGATGAGGATACTTTAAAGACTTCTTCCCATGAATATTGCCTAAATGTCGTCGTACATTTGTTGTTGCCCCATTTCCTTCTCTAATATGCTAAAACAATAAATCCTTTTCGTTTAGAATTTTTTTTGTAGTGATAAAGAAATTTTCAGCTCTATTATAGTCTAGCCGATATCTGCACAAATCGAAGAGTGGTGTATTTCAAATTCCTTGCTTTCTGAAAAAAGCTTTTCTGTACGTTTCCGTTTTTATCTGTATAATATTCGGTAGAGATAACGTTCATGTACAATGAGCATCGGCCCCTTCAGAGCTCAAAGTTAGCCCGATGCCAGAATACATATCAAACATCAGAAGCAGTGGGCAAGGCTTAAGCGTAAAAAAGAGATCAAAAGTTTGGTTAACTAAAGCTTAAGCAAGAATGAACGAAAACTAGAAGTAGTTTCAAAAATAAGTTATGCTTACCATTAGCTGTTAGTGACATATGGTGAATTTTTGTCTTCGTCGTCACCTTGTCGACTTTTTGCTTGAATCAGTTGATAAAGATCGTTTATTTGATACAACCTAAATATAATCACAAATCCAAAAATGTGTGAAAGAGTGAGATAGAAATAAGTATTTAAGTACTACATCTGTAGTTGGTGGTTGTGTCCTGTTTATTTCATAGAGAGCTCGTCTTGCAGTGTCCGTTCGACGTGACAGGCGCTGCCTGACTCTCATACTCCTATAAAGAATAAAAGTTTTGTGCACGCTACAAAAGTAAATAAAGAAAATTTTCATACCGAATAGAAAGTCGAATTCACACTCGTATGTGGTAATAGCAGACCAAAACCGGATATTCCCTGGTCTTCTGTTGAAACTTGGTGTCTCAATAATGGTACTAAACATAAATGCAATATTTTTTCTTGAGATAGTTTTCTTCTGTTTATTTCAATATAGTAATCGTCAAAGTCAATCAAACCAAACAATGGATCTTTAATTTGTACAATATAATCATTCATACTAGTAGAATGGCATCTTTTTATTTCATCCATAATATCACTTAATGTATAATTTTCATTTACATATCTCCCTATTCGAGTATTCTTATCTTCGAGTTCGAAAATTACGGGTACAAGAGATGTCATCTGAAATAGAACAAAAAAATGGTTGAATGAGGTGATAAATATTAAATTTTGCAATGGAAAAGTCAAAAGAAAAGTGGTAAGAAAAAACAAAATAAGTAAACAACAATTTAAATCAATGTGTTCGTGCCTTTTCTGTTTTAGACGAATAAGAAAACAAGAGAGACTATGGCATTAAGTCGAAACAAACTATGTTATTGCTCATGTCAAAAGAAATGAACAACAAAAATCTTTTTTGAACTAGTCTTTATTCAAGTAATAACAAAAACTGTAGAAAAGTAAAAAACTAATGTATAAACATACGAGCATAAGGAAATAAAAGAACGTGTTTATTTTCAAATCTCAATACAGATAGTGGCCATTTAAAAGCGAAAAAAGATCGTTTTCTTATCAAACACGTATCATTTTGTTCTAGAATATATGCATTTAGATTGGCCTCTAGTCCACATGTTCTACGGACAAAAAAATCAAAAAATATTTCCTCTTTTTGTTTATAAATGCATTTTATAATTCCAAATTGTGGATGTTGAGGAAAATGAACATTGCTGACCATTAAGACCCCACCTGTCTTGTACTCAGTACCAACAATTATGACTAATCTAACACATCGTTCCCTGTGTTCATTTCGAGCAAATACAGCACTTTGTGGTATTTGTCCATACTCATTTGTATCTACATAGGGATGTGCAGCTTCAGTATACTGAACACCGACAGAACCGAAAGTGACACCAGTGTAACACTGGCTCTACTCTCATCGGTATTCACTGACACTGTGACTACACTGGCACTGACGTCATTGAAACACTGACTTATAGTCTCGTCGGTGTTCACCGACACTCACTGCATTGACACTGACTTATACTCTCGTCGGTTTGCACCGAAACTGATTACACTAACACTGACACACCGGTGCTAATGTTCTTTGATTATAGTTTATATACAGAATACTACGACATCTTCCGGATGAATGCGCAGAAAATTACATTGGATGTTTGCAAACTAACTAAATAATTTCGTAGAGTTTATTCTAAAACTGATTTTATTCAACATTACGTTCTGTGAAGAACTGGAGAAATTATCTTGTGGTTACCATGTTATAATATTGATCGTATTTTGCTGTTTGTTTTTGTTCGTCATTCTTCCATATTTATCTTTCTCCGTCCCTTTTCCCTTTTGACTATTTCGTGCTTTAATTTTCCATTTTCTTTTGCTTGCGTCCTTGAAAAGTGAAAGTGAATGCCCTGGACATTGCCTTTCTATCGTTTCTTTCTGTACATCGTATTATACGTTTAGAAAAGAGAAAGAAGTATCCGATTCTTTTTCTCTTGATTTCACTGTTTCCTCCGACGTGTTGTATTACGGAGTTAGACAAGAGAGAAGAAATTACAATTTAAAAATAATATGATTTCCACATCAGTCGCAATTGTTCTTGAAGATTGTACAATCAATGGTCAATCAAATAATTCTATCAATACTTATAATTCAAATGAATCAACTTCATTATCATGTAATGCAATAGTAAATAGTTATTGTTCAAATTCCGATTTAGCTGACGTTTGTGAAGCTGATCATGAGCAAGAAAACAACAAAAATGATTTCAACTTGAACAGTAAAAACAAATCATTTAAACGTTCGCATAATAAATCTAATTCAACTTCAACAAAAAATGTTTTGTCTGATAAAACAAATGAAACAGGATCGACACACTCGTCTAGTGTGTGGCAATATGCAATACGTATTAATAACTCAAATTATGCTACATGTTGTTTGTGTACAGATGGTAAAAGAATCTCGACGAATAATGGATCCACATCAACTTTACGTAAACATTTGGTATTGAAACATAATAAGTATGAGTTAATTCTACCAAATGACAAACGAAACATCACAAAGTCATCACTCAACAACGCCAGGAAAAAACAACTACATGATTTATCCGTTAATTGTATTATTCGCGATGGAAGCAGTTCAATGATCTTGAAAAACCTGGTCTCAAAAAGCTTTTACAAGAGCTTGTGTCAGGTAAATTCATTTCAGCAGGTAGCTGATGTGAATTCAAATAGACTCTGAAACATTTATTGCTACATTTAAGAAATTATGCGAGCTTTTTTGTGGATGTAGAGGACACATACCTATTCGAAAAAAATTATAGGAGGTTGGCAAATCCTTTTAGACTTTTAAAAATAGATGAACTATTACTAGATTCGATGCTTGCTTGAAATCGTCGTTTTTCCAGCGAAACACTTAAAGGTACATTTGACAGCTAGTGTTCTCGATGAACAGTTGGAAGGTACCGTATCAGAAATACTGGCGAAAAAGTTTTGTGTTGCTTTATTTTAAAATATAACATACCCTCTGTTACTACTTTTACTGCCAAGCTATTGTATGTACTATTTATCTGAAGATTTAAATCAATTAATCAATTACTGAATTTGTTTTTTTTGTGAAGATTATGAGCCACCAAACCGATTTGCCGTAGTTCGTCGTCTCAAACATCTTCATGTTTTTCATCATAAAAAATTAATGGAAAATTTAACATGTATTGACGATATTTCAGTTACAATCGATTTTTGGTGATATCGTCAAATGCGATGTTTTTTAGTAATAACAGGTCATTATTTTGGTACGAATGGTTACAGCTTACAATCAACTGTTTTAAATTTCTCAACATTTGATAATCGACATACATCATATGAAATATCTCGAATAGTAAAAGCAAAATTACAATAACTTAATATTTGACATAAAGTATTTCGTGTAACGTGCGATGGTGCTCCAAATATGGTGCGTGCAATTGATGATTTAGATTTAAATTTAAAGCGTGTGTGGTGTGTAGCGCATAGACTTCATCTTACAATTACAAATGCTTTTGGTTTCTGGATAGTGAAAAACAAGAAGGTGAAGAAAGTACAATGGTTGAAGAAAGTTTGAATGCCTATACCTTACTTTCAATCTTTATAACCGTTATTTTCTTTTTCAGAAGATATAAATAATGAAGTAAATATTGAAGAAGAAATGACAAACATTGATGAATCTCAAAATAATAATGAAATGGATATTAATAATGATTCAGAATTGGCTTACAGTGAATCAACGATTGTCGATCAATGAAATGATGAAGAAGAATTATTATCTGGTATAATCGACGAAGGAATTATGGATAATTGGGCAGAAGGTGTTAACGTATCAGATATTGATATTACTCATGATCAGGATATAGTTGTTTGTCTTATTAAAAAATGTCGCGCTTTAATTTTAATGGTTAAACATTCAACGATCATTACATCTTTTTTTGACGCTGAAGAGAAAAAATTAAATATTAAATGAAATTTATGTTACGATGTTAGATCTCGTTGGAACAGCACACATAGTATGATTGATTCATTTAATGATCAAGAACAATTGAAACTACTGGAAGTAAGTGACCATTACTTACAGTATTCTTGATCGTTTTCGTAAATTTCATTTGAAAAGCAACGCGTGCATTATAAGTTGCTGTTAAAAAAATTATATAATCAAGAAAAACAGGTGCTAAAACTAATTTGCTAAACGAGCTGAACGATAATAGCTAGCTGAACATTTTTTTTTTCAAAACTATTTAGTTATGTGCTTACTGTATAAAAACCACATTGGATAGTATCCGTAATACGAATGTAATGTTATTCTTTTTTGCTATTAGTAGAGGAATAACCTACGATTGCCGAAGAATTCAACAACCTAATATGCCGGTGCTTAGAAATAGTGTGCCGTCTATCTTTAATTCGAATAGATATCAGAACTTTTTAGAAAATTTCGAATTATTTCATTTTGTACAGATAAAATTTATTATTTTTTGCCTAAAAAACTTATAAACGCCCTTATTAGCTCTAAAATTCGTGAGTAATATACCATTTTGTGCCTTTCTAGTTTCATTCTTACTTCGATCCAGCTGGATTTTCAACATTAACTGATCAAGAGAAACGTATAATTGAACAAAGTATTAAAGCGGTGGTGGCGGATAGTAGTTTTCAATCGAGACAACTGCTAGCAGCTGCATCACAAATTAACTCAACCACAACCAACGCATTTAACAAATCAAAATCACTTGAAAGATCAACGAAGAGTGCAACGGATATGTTTAATGAATCTATTGGCGAAGATAGTTATGCGGAAAGTGTAGGTGATGAAAATAAAAAAGCAACAATTATTAATGATATGCAAAATTATCGAAGATATGCAACACAATTTATTTGAAACACAAATCAGATGTAACATCAGCAATATTATTTTGGCAATCGTTTGGAGGACAATTTTCAGTTTTAGGAAAATTAGCAAAAATAATGTTAAGTACCCCTGCCACTTCAGTATCTAGTGAAAGTTGCTTTTTCATGTCAGCCTTTTTAAGTAAAAAAGAACGCTCACGTTTAAGCGGTGACAATCTGTCATCAAGCGTCTTTCTGAAAGATAAACTAGACTTTTGAAATCCATGTGGTAGTTTAAGAGTTTTATCTTATTATGATTTTCGTATATTTCCGTTTTTGCTTCTTGAAACTTAATCAAATGGTTCCTTATGCAAGTGTTCCATATTTCACTACTGCTCATAATTGTTTCTCATTTTAATATATGTCGTTAGTTTCTTCTGTCTTTTATATTTTACCTATTATATTTATAAGAAGAAGTCTTTTTTTTCTCTACACAACTGTATTTCTTTTTCAATATTTATATATTAATACGTTCGTTTTGTGAAAACTTTGTACTCCTTTACCTGCTTTATTGATGTCGCCCTGTATGATAACCCGTTGTTTTCTTTGCGTTTTTATAAAATAGCGTTTTAGTTGTCTTGAAGAAACACTTATAGATAGTTCATAAACTTCAGTTCCTTCTTATTTTTGAAAGTATATCTCGTTTTGTTATATCACATCCATTTTTTTTGAAATAGAACTGAAAATGATAAGTTAATATGCTTGTTACACTGGCGTCAGTGTCCGTGGTTTCGGTGCCAGTATTTCAGTGTTTCACACTGGCACTGCACATCCCTACATCTACAGTTTTCAGTTTTTTCGTTTCAATTTTTGGTCCGAAGTTTATTATTGTAGGATTACCATTGTCGTCGAATAACGTTGAGCATTCTCTGTCGATATAACTGGTAATTGCTGTAAATGCAGTATTAACAAAATTTCTCCTTCCACTTGCTTTTATTGCTTGGTGTTTTCTTTCAAAAGAAGAGTGCTGCAATAACGTGCTGGTCCCAAAGCTGAAAATTGATTTTACAAATGTAAACTGAAATGTTTTTTGAGAATTCTTTTCTCCCGCCCGTATTGAGCATCGAATATTTGAAAATAACGTCAGTAGATCGCCATATTGACTAATACTAATTTCATCAACTTCACTTGCGAAACAGAAGAATAACAATTCATGTAATAGCAACAAACATCTCCATTCATCATTTGACCATATGTCTGGTTTAATATTGGACAAAATACAAGGCAAATATTTCACCACTGTCAACATCTGCGATGCCGATAATGATATTTGTGCTTGTTTCAAAGTTGTTAAGTCAAACGTGTCTGATGGGGTTGATTCATATGTTGGATAATCATAATTGAGTATTGCGTTGTTAATTGCACGAAGTGATAACACTTTTTTGTCTGATAAAGATAAAAATAATAGTTTAAGATGTTTTCTACATATACCATATACCTAAAATAAAAATTTCATGCGGGAGTGTCTATGAGAAATGCTTAGATTTGTTTTTTTAATTTTGTGTCACCTGAACGGAGTTCATGACCATTTCAGTATGTTCGTAAAATATTCCCTTTTAAAGAAGCCAGGGGTAGGTTACTCCAGAATCCACGATCACTTTTGGATATGAAAGAAGCAACCAGCAGAAAATCTAAATTTTATTTTGCCAGCATCTGTTTTATATTTTGCTAATTCAAACGCGTATTCAAGGTTTAAATTTTCTAGAGAAAGTACAATCAACAAAATTTATCAGAAGCACAAATTTTTTTGGAAACACTTTCCCAGTTTCGCATGACAAAAAGTAGATTTTTTCGATGGATTCGAGTTAAATAAATACTCCAATATAGAGTTGACGGCTCACTACAAAGTTAGATGTTCCAACTCTCTATAAACTTGCCTTTCACTAAAAATTTAATTGAAACTAAATAAATCGTCTGTTCTTTCATTTTAATTGTTTTGTTACTCTGTTCTCCTATATATAAAAAAATTTCTAGACAATTCTGTAAGGAGAAATTTCGTTTCAAAACTTGACAACTCTTCCATTTTTTCACAATGTTTTCGAGTTAATTCTATTCTTCCAGTAGCGGTAAAACAAGTTGATTTTCAGAAAAAGTGCCTTACTTCAAAGAATTATTTTTTCTAGTAGCAAAAAATGATTTGCTGCTTTCAGCTGAACAAACTTCTTTAGGCTGGAACTTTTACATATGCATACGTAAAAATGCTACTTGTAAAGCATTCAGTATCTCTGTTTTCCTAGTCCTCTCGATAATACTTCAGAGAAATAAAAATAAAAATTACAATTAGTTCGACAGACAGGTCTTTTACAAACACGCAGACGGTAAGCCTGTGACAACATTATTGCTGTCGCGGACCTTTCTATCGCCTGCATAGAGAGTAGCCCGTAGAATTCATTGTCACTCTTAAACACCTTTTCGGTTTGCACAGCTTCATAATAATATTCTGTACCATAGTCTTCAGTTTGCAAAGAGAAATACCTTCTAAAAATACGTGGGCCACATCTAGTGCTGATTGTTCAAATATGTTGAATCCGGGCAATCCGCATAACAGCGACTTTTGAACAATACCATTTTGTTTTGATAATGCATCTCTCATTGTACGATTATTAGTGGTTTCAATTTCTACACATTGTTCTTGATAGGTATCAATTGTTCGTAAATCAATTTCATGTAGCGACGATGTTGTTGCCATATTTTCATTTGCAATTGTACATAAAAAACATGGGGATTTTGCATGTTTAAATCCCATTTTAAACCCATGTAATCCAACTAATGCGAGTAGGTCTTCCAATAAGACAAACAGACCACCATTCAATGTTATCGATTGATTTTGGATAACGAATTCAATCCCCCCATATAATTTTTTCATGTTAATCAAAAAATCGTTCGGCAAAGTATTGAAACCAAATTGAACTCCGTATTTCTTCTCACAAATAGTCGGAAATATTTCTGTCTTGGTAACGATAAGCATGGGGAATATTCGCCATTGTCCAATAGAAAACTGATAATATTCGTTTACGCTTTTTTAACGGTTGTGAAATTTCTACGTCATCGTAATATAATATAATTTTTAATGAACTTTGCTTCCGAAAAACAATGTCATTTCTAGCAACACAACCAGATGTTAAATCATTTAATATTACTGATTGTGATACGGTTGTTGTGTGTGTAGCTGAATGTCGAGATTGTTCACAATATTCATATTCCATACTTGTTGCAGTTGTATTGTTTCCTTCCTGTTGGTCCCGTTGAATACTGTCAATTACCATACTTGAATATGCTGGCTGTTGCAGCAACGAATTTAATGTTTTTAGAAACGGAAGATAATATCCTTTAGCATGTTCCGATAATAAACGCTTGCGTTTACGGGAATAATACGTCTAAAAAGAGAAAAAAATATCGCTGGTACAATTGCTCTATGGCATTGTGCGGCAACAGTAGCTTGGCATTTTAAATGAGTTGACGACGTGAGTGATGCACAGCTCTGAAATTCTTTTTACGTTTTTAGTGCCTGATTTGTCCTCTTGGTTCACACTATATTGTGACTATATTTAGCTTATGTCAGATAGTTACGATTACTGTTGGGGTTAGACTTACACTCGTCTTTTTTCCGGATTTACACATTAAAAAATACAAACGCAGTAAAAGATAGGAAATAAAAAAAAGACAAAACCTTAGTCTGCCCACAATCAGATTAAGAGTGGTACGTATTTTAAAGTTAGTTTCTTCCTTGTTTTGGAACGAAATCCTATCTACAATTGTATCTGAAGGATACAACATAGCTTTTACATTGCTTTTTCAGGAAAGCAAGGAATTCGAAACATATTTTCACATGAAAAGCTGAGATATTTGTCTTTTTTTTATTTAGACCACTTAGACGATCATGATACAATTTCTCAGCATCGTTCGAAGGAAACGGTCTGACACTGAGATCCATACTCCCGCACTTTAAGAAAGACGAACAATGAAAGAGCAGTAGTCTTGACTTAAGTAATGATCAGATGTATTATTACCGTTCGTCCCATTAAAACTGCAATGCACACTAGCGGGCACACTTTATTTTTTACAGTGTAATTCGCCTATGATGAAGAAGAACGTATCATATTCGAAAAACAATAGATACGTGTCATTAAGCTATCACAAATTGTGATTTTCTGCTTGAATTCTCGTGCCAGTAAAATTTACTATATTCTGGTACCATGCACTACTCAGATCAGAGCGTCGTAAGACTTTTAAAAGTCCAAGTGGTCATATATATTCAATCAGAAAAACATGTTGAACTCTTTTTGGAAGAATAATCTTTAATTTATTATTATTTATTTGTGTAGTTCATCCAATCGGTCTTTTACGCACACTTTTAGCTCTGAATCAGCCACTAAAAGATGTTTTCGAATTGTAATTCTTTTCTCTAGAAAAAAGAAGAGCGAGAAGGACACAGTCTGAGTATTTGAGGCACTAGTGTACAGATATATTTTTTTTCTTTTATTTTGTTTTTTTTGTCGTCCATTTGATTTCTACTATTCACCAAGTTCGTTCTGTTTTTCATCGTCGTCCATGAAGGTAGAGTGTCAAGAACAATACACACGAACTCGACTAAACTGTACATGTTCGTTTGTTCATGTATTCATTCAAATGTCTCTTCATCTAGTCTATTAAACTATACGTTGTACCTATAGCTGCAACTGGAATAAAAAAAAGAATGTATGAGAGCGAAAATACAACGCATTTCTAAGTCACAAACGTTTTTGCGCGCTTAATTTTTGGACCACTCATAAGTGACTTGACCTCAATACCGTCGAAAAACTTGTCTAAATCTTTCAGATATGAGTGTATTAATCCTTGTCTTTTGAAACAGCTGGTAAGTTTGAAGCTCAAATGTTGTCCAAAACAGTAAATAAACTAGCCGTTAATTGGACAGGTTCATGAATTTACTCAGCATTTTTAAGAAAACACTTAATAGGAGAGCCATTTAGTCTGTTGTGAAGCTCTTTTGTATCAGAGTGCAGGTATTAAAATGAGAGCATTCCATTTATCTCATTGCGGCAGTAATTACAGCTTGCAGAAAATCGTTTTGGCGAAGATTCTAACCCCCCCCCCCACACGTGTTTTAAGAAAATCGTGCGAGCTTTTAATTGTTTAAGCAATTAGAATTTCCAGCTAATAGTGATTGTTTGCGTAACAATATCGGTAGGAAAATGATTTTTGAAAAATTTGTGCTACGAGATATGATTAGGTTTACTATCAAATGTACACAATATAATCTGTCCGTTGTGTATTTCGATTTGTTCCATTTCTTGTTTTATTTAACGTGAGAAGCAAAGTGATCAAAATCCGTATTTCGCAGAATTTGAGAATTACAAAAATCTCAACTGTCTTGCTATTACTTCAGTGACACTGTCTTCTACCACGAAGCGTATTCAGAATGAAAGTAAAGTCATTTCTTTACTCGAACGGCTCTCTAAATAACTATGCCCACACATTTTTCAAATTTTCGTTCTTGAAAGTATCTCCAGCGCTTCAATGATTAAAAACAATAAATATTCGAAAACTCTCGAGTTCTAAGAACCAAAAATCTTTTTTGTAGTTTTAATTATGCAGCTCTATGGTATGATATGTTGTTGTCACGTATACTTACGTCATGGTATTTTGTTCTCTGTAAAAATGAGAACGCTTTATCGCTTTTGTGAGAGTGTACAAAAAAGAAATATACCATACTGAAATGTCAGTCGCTACAACAATACAACCCGTCCCAATAAAACCATTCTAAGTTTTGTGGTGTTGTAGTACTTGGCTATTGAACTGCATGGTAAGTTATGTTTTTTAAAACGCTTAAATTACCGGTCGCCGTAAAAGTATCCTAATTTCACCGTGAAACAGCTTGAACGATAAAATATCATATAATTATCATTTCCAACCATCTGGGTTCTGTCATGTGTGAACTTTTCATTGTTTTCTGGGTCATTTACAGATGGTTGTTGATTCAATAAACATGTCCCCATCGATTAAATCGTCGCCCTATAGCTTGTCGGACAACTTCCAACTAAAGGATGAAATTGTTATAAAAGATGACGCGTTGACGTTTGAAGAGAAATGCCACAACGTTGGTGTGTACTGCTACAACTCCAAATACCAAGAAGTGTGCGGACGAGATGGTATAGGTTGGTTGAAGCTTGGTCTATCCTATTTTACCTGGATGATATTATTGGCAGGAATATTTGCCTCGTTGCTTGGTATATTTATGGCTGTTATCGATAAACAAATACCAACCTTTCGTGGAAATTCATCAGCGCTCGCGTTAGACACAAACAGTCTTAATCCAGGTAATGTACCTTTAATAGTTTCATATTCATCTGGAGAATTAATATGATTACACAAGGTAAAACATTATCTGCTAGTTGCTAAATTAACAGAGCATGCGGTCCGCGTTCGTTGGAGTCAACACTTAAGCTTAAGAAAATGTTTAAACTTCTTCGTAATATGATCCACAGTTCTCTTACACTATAACTGAGATAAAAGTGCAATGATCTGATCATTCAGCAGAATTAGCTCTTGTAGGAATCTTTAGCAAATCTTTTGCATAAGTGTTTGCATTACTCTAGGTCTTGGTTTTCGTCCTCAACTATCAGTTGAGAAAACGCTGATTCGATTTCGTTCGTCGACACGTGACGGTCCATATGGTTGGGGGAATATACAAATCAATTGACAGAATTTCTTGCGTATTACACTGAAAAAGATACACGACGTCAACAACAAATGGATTGTTCAAGTATTAACAGTACACAATTACAAACACTTTATGCTGAAGGAAAATCATGCCAATTTATTTTAAGTCAGTTTCAAAACACCAAAACTGATCCGTGCATTAAAGAAAAAAATTTTGAATATGATCGTGGTCATCCGTGTGTTTTACTTAAACTGAATAAAATTTATGATTGGGTACCTATCACTTATGAAAATGTTGCTGAAGTACCAGAAAATTTAAAATCAATATGGGACGTGGCAATGTCCGAATATGTGCTGGGTAAGTACACAAATTCGCCAAACGTTGCTGAATTTCATTTTTGTAACTTCTTACTAAGATACCTCGTGATGTGTATGCAAAGAGCTGACCATTTAACTACATGTTTAATTAGTAAGGTTCCAGATATAGTAAAAATTTCAGCTCTCTAGCATGAGGAAATCGGGAGAAAAATAAAACTAGTATACCATGTGACGGTTTTTGCCTACACTCCGTAGACTAATAGTCAATGATCGCCACGTTTTATCTGATAGATTTGCTAGCTCATATAGAAGGTCATGATCTCTAAATTGTCAGTGAAACTCAATTTCCTCTGACGGTAATATCTCGATTCGACTTTCACCTCTCTCATGTTATGTCTTTGAAAGAAACTTTTTCTGCCTTATCGTGCTGCTAAATCCACGATGAGTATCTCGTTGGACCATTATGCCTAGGAACAAATCCTGGACTCTTCACTGTTCCAAGCGGCTATTACTCGTATCCATTTCTATGGTTATAGCGAGAACCAGTTTTCATCGAAAAATTTTTGCTTCTCTATGCAATCAGCTTTTGTCAGTAGCTTTCAACTATTATCTCACCGTTAGCTAGCTATTAGATCACTAAATTATTTCATTCAGATTTTACAAAATTAGCTAATAGTTATTCAGTAGCTGGTAAATTCGTTAAGGCGGCGCGTTCGAATCTCTAAATCGTTGGACGATAACTGTATTTTGGAACCGTAAGGGGATTTTATTCGAAAACAAAAACCAGCGATGTCTACAACAAGATATATGAGCACGTCCGTCTCCTTCTTTTTATCTTACTTCCACTACACTCTCTTTTCTCTCTACCTCTATGAACAACAAGCGAGAGGTATATATTCAGATAAAACAATGAGAGACTGATGCGCTATAAGATGACCGGTGAGAGAGAGAGAGCAATAGATGTATACCATGCATTGTAGAAGAACACAGTGAAGAGAAAAGGATGAAAGCACAATGACAAGAATGGCACTATTCTTCACACCATTTTGAAACTTCAAAAACCGCTTTCTTACATACGACAATAAACCGTGATTGTGAGATATTCACTCGGCCGGAAAACTGCTTAATAACCGAACTAAGGTTGAGAATGAGATACTAGCAATTTTTCTTCAACAACAAGAGAGGAAATTCAAAAAATGATTCAACGTTATCGCCCTTGTTGTCTGTTCAACAATAAACGTGTTCGCCGATCTAAACAGCCACAGGCAGTCTCAAAACTGTGTCTGCTGACGTATCTTCAACACACATCTGAGAGAACAAGTTGCTTCACATTGCCGCCGCACGCTAGTTTAATAACAACTGCTTTAAGCGTATATTAATCATTGCTATTGATAGAGCTTATGTGTTTTGTTCTTTTTTAGTTCAATGTAATGGTGAAAATGATGTTGATCGCGATTTTATATATGAACTAGAATATTCCTCGCCATTGCGAAATCTAAAAATTGGCGGGTTCCCAAAATATTATTTTCCAAGATGGTTACCGATCACCGTTGATGTTTGTCTATTTTAAAAAAGTTGAGACAAATGTTTTGATCAATGTTGAATGTCGAGCATACGCAAAAAATATCATTCATGACGACAGTACTGAATATAGACGAGGATCAGTCCATTTTGAACTGATCGTGGAATGAGTAGTATATCAGACGAAACATATACGTGAAACATTTATCTAACATTTTCTACACGTATTGATTATGTAACTATAAGAAATGGCCGTTTATGTAAATTTTTAGTTGATGAATGATAAAATGTGATTGTACAAGTTGTTTCTGACAGCGTAAACATTCCAAATGTGTGTTTTTCACCATTCCAGACAACTTCTTACTGTCCTTGTAATTACTTCTTTTTTTCATACATGTTAATCTTAACGAAACTATGTGCGATACATGGTTTCTTTTCTTTTTTACAACGCTTTTGTGTCCTTTTTCCGTATTCGATTAAATCATATTTTATTCGGACTTTTCATAGTAATTAGGATGCATCATCACATTAATACTTTGAACCTACATACAGGAAAGGAATATACAAAAAAAGAAAGGAAAGAAATACGTAGATCTGTTCATGAGTGGAAAATTTTTCATGAACTTGATAAACTGTTCTCTTTCTTTTCCATCTATTTCTACACAATCTCCGACCATTATAGACATTCACACACGGTTTATTGCATAGAGCAAACTATGTGTTTGTGTACAGTCGGTCAAGATTGAACATAAGAAATCTACGTTCAAGCGTTAAGTAGAAAGAGAGTATATGTTGTAGTCACAAATTTTGACTCACAATTCAAATTCAGTCCAATTTCATATTGGACTAGTCATAATTCTAAGTTTAATTACGGAATATTCTAATATAACTGTCTTCAGTCAAAAGTACAATCATAGTTATGACTACTCCAGTATAAAGTTAGACTGAATTGGAATTATGACTACAACACATGCTCTGTTTGGTCTGTGAATGTCGGATGGGCAAAAGAGCAGAGGAATAAAAGAACTACAGGCATCGAATACAATAACAACACCTTCAAAATAAAAATTTCATTTGTATTGATTGTTATTTGAAACAGTAAATTTTTGTAAAATATGGTAATAATGGCTAAGCCCGGAAATACCAAAGCGAAACAAAAACGTCGGGAACAATATTGTAGGAAACTTGTTCCAAATGGAAGGAAAATTGATCCTCATTTCATTTTTGTATCTTTTGATCAAATTTATCATTAGATCGTCCAACACCTACAGTTTTTTCTTCCTTCTGCAAATTAAACGATAAGCTTAATGGCTTAAGACTTCTCGTTCGAAAACGGCTTTTGACCTTTATCTAGTATAGTTTTATCTTAAAGATTGTAAAACGATGGGCTTATGTGCAGGTCAGTAATATCTAGCTATAACAAATCTCCTCATCCACAGTTATAACCAAACAACCATTAGGTCATCCTACCAAAGCAAAACCGTCGAAGTAACTATCGCCTTGCACGAGTTCATACACTCCCGGCTACAACTGAATGAGACGTGCTATGGTCGGAGACGTGCTACTAGTTTCTCTAGCTGTTTTTCCTCTATGGACGAAGACTATGTACTTACATAGGCTGAGATCACTTAAGGGTCCCCCGTCAGAAATTATCTCCTACACTTTACATCCGATCGTAACGAAACTCTCCATAAATGTTTGGCTTAATGAGTTACGGGAATCAAAAATTTTTTTATCTCCAAGTCTTACCGTTCAGGAGTTTTTCATCACGGTCCAAAAAGGACCGTGAAGTGTTTCGCAAGATTTTTTAATATACTTCAAGCTGGGGAGTTCGGATTTGTTTTGTTTTAAGCTAGACACCTGACTACATGGTCTGACCGGCGTCGATTTTTCAATTAAGCCTTTATTAGTTTTCCAGGCAGCCGACAACCTCCAAAACCCGAAAATTCCTTCCGGATTTTCTAAAAATCCTTAATTTAATAAAAAACAAAGAGCTAATTCAAAAATCGGTGCCGGTCGGAAGATGTAGTTTCTTTTCCTCTTTTAAACAAAAAAAGAATAAACACTATGAGAAACCGCTATAAAAAATCTTCGAAATCTTCAAGTGTAACTCTTATATAGAGAAAACGTTGTATAAGATAGTCAATTTTAGAACTTCTAGGAAAATGCTTATAACTTTTTAATACAAAGTCATACAGAGTTGTGTGAGGTCTTATTTTAATCAGAAACATTTACTCTACAAAGCTGTGTGTTTTAGAAAAATTTTAATTTCATAAGAATCCAAGAAAAAGCTATTATTTGAAGACCCGGTTTTTCACGACTCCTAGTAAACTTGCTCAAAATCCGCGAAAAACCACTTTTGTAACCAAAAGCAATACAGATTGTGAGAGTAGACACTGCAGGCTATCTTCCCATGTGCTAATCTCAAAACCGATGTTTTGACCGAAAATTAGAATTTCTGAGGGGGGTCCTTAATATGTACTAGCAAAATTATGACTAGTCCAATATGAAATTGGACTGAATTTGAATTGTGAGTCAAAATTTGTGACTACAACATATACTCTCTTTCTACTTAACGCTTGAACGTAGATTTCTTATGTTCAATCTTGACCGACTGTACACAAACACATAGTTTGCTCTATGCAATAAACCGTGTGTGAATGTCTATAATGGTCGGAGATTGTGTAGAAATAGATGGAAAAGAAAGAGAACAGTTTATCAAGTTCATGAAAAATTTTCCACTCATGAACAGATCTACGTATTTCTTTCCTTTCTTTTTTTGTATATTCCTTTCCTGTATGTAGGTTCAAAGTATTAATGTGATGATGCATCCTAATTACTATGAAAAGTCCGAATAAAATATGATTTAATCGAATACGGAAAAAGGACACAAAAGCGTTGTAAAAAAGAAAAGAAACCATGAATCTACCTGAGAATAGTTTCGGATAATCGAGTATTCTTTTTTCAAGTATACCCTTCACGGATGTAACTATGGCTTATTACTAGAAAGAATCGGTACTTCGAAACCAGTTAACAGTCTCAGACGCCTTTTGAGCCCTCGTTCAAAATACAAAAAGAGCATATATAGCAAGCACGCATATCTGTCTATATTCCTTCCCTGTTTTGTCCGTCCGACTATTATATCTCTGGCCATTATAGACACTCACAAACCATTTATCACACCGAGCAAACTGTATATCAGTGTATAATCCGTCAAAATTGAACAGAAGAAATGTAAGTTCAAAGCTTTAAGCAAAAACAGTGCTTCTGACCAAACAATTGAGGAACAGAAATTAAAGAAGAATTGAACAGAAATATTCTCAAAGCTAATAACTAACGTCTTCATTTTAACAAGACAAGACTGAGTCTGTTGAGAAATGAATTTCGTGTACTCCATAGTTAGTTTGTTGATTTTTCTCATTATGTTGAAATCACAACGTAAGTTTGATACGTGTATTTTCGATAAGGAAACTACGTGGAGCATATTTAGGATGCATGGCTGAGTCGTTTAACTGTACAAAAGATGGTGTTTTTCCCGATTAATTCGATTGTGGCAACTTATTATTTTTGTTCTGACGATCTTCAATTGGCTATCAAACATAGCTGGGCGAGGCCGAGTCCGGTAATCTTTTTGATTCTTGTTTGATGATTATGGTTTATTTCTGCTTTTTCTCGGTGCCGGTTAATACATCAATCTTTGGGAAACAGAAGAAGTTGCCCAGGTAAACTTCTATTAGACTTTAACGATGTCAGTTGAGATAGGTTGGCTTTCGTTAAACGTGCTCTTTCGCGTCTAGTCCAAAATCCTGATTGAGAAAAGATGCGCTCAAATGTAGCCGGAAAACATAAAAGTTTTCTAACTAGTTTGCTGAGACCGGAATAGATATCTGATTTTTCGAAAATAAGATTACTTTGTATACCTTCTCCCACAAAATGTTTTGTGAAACAGAAGTTGTTATTTCAAGTTTCATTCTTTTTTGATTGAGAAAGATTATATAAATGCGAAAACAATTGTTTTCTTTTTGTTGACTTGCTACAGGAAAAATGTAGTGTCCATTTATGTTAAAACTTGAGTCGATCGGACTCGAAATACAGAAACTCAAGTTGAAGTCCGAGTCTGTCGAATCGCCAGTCCGAGTCCTCAAAAGAATCTTCCAGTCCGGACTCGTCCATCCTTCCTATCAAATGAAGACGAAGATGGACTTGTTCGTTTTAGTATTGATGCTATAAAAGCCGAGAAAAACCTTCAAGATCAATCAAGTTTCTTAAATGAAAGAAACATACCTTTTGATGTATTAAACTTGGCCATTGATTTCGACTACTTGGTTGTTGAGAACGATTATCTTGTTGTCGATTATAATTCAGTTCAGACCGACTACTTGTGCTCTTAATATCTTCATCTTGTTCTTCAGCTTGGGTAACTGCAAAAAACAGCAGAGTAAATAAATGTAGAAAAATTCAAAAATAACTTCTAACTTACGAGTATGATGAAGATATTTATGGTAACTAGAACCAAAAATTTTGTGTGATCTCTTATTGATGACGATACATGACTTGTTGGATCTATAATTGTGACCAGGAAAAAACTGTTCCTACCTTGCTTTTGATTACTCAATGATAGTTCTCGAAGAAAAAGATCATTAAAACTACTTATAATTCAAAATAAAAAAGTGTATATATGAAGGAAAAAATGAAAATTACAGAACTCATCTCGATGATAATTGTCATTGATACATGGATGCACTCATAATAAGTTGTGTTGTTGTTACTAAACATCTTAAAAAGTAAAAAAAGAAAACATAAGGAAGTATTCTAATCGGGGAAAATATTAGCGGAACTGAAACTAGAAGGATGTAAACATTGTGATGATGTCTTTGATATACTGGATCTAGAGTTCTGATCATTTTCTAAAAACAAAAAGAGAATGAAGAGGGACAGAAAATAACGATATAGTTACCTTCATTATTTTCTTCATCACCTTGTTGTGATAATTTCATTTGTTTTCTAATTCGTTCTTCACAATGTTGATATGTACATAAAGCAATCCAA